TGTGAGGAGTGACACCGTTAATAAATGGCAGCAATTATACGGGCCGATTTGTTGGTGCAACATGCAACTAATATCACAAATATTTCACAGAAACAGTCATATCCAGAGCCAGACGTAAACAACAATGGTGGGAAGGACAAGAAAATACCAAGAAAGCAAAACAAACAGGCGAGGGAACGGGAAAACAAGCGGGGATCCTAAACAGCCAACGGAGCCCTATAAAAACAGCCGGGACCCATCAGACGTTCAGTAATGTGATCGGTCACCAGCTGGTCAGAGGCGCGTCTCCCATTATCCAAAGCACGACACGACGAGTTTTGCGAGCGACACTGGAATGGTAGCCATCTGGAGGTAACACTCGGGCACGCAGCTGTGACGCTGTTTACGTCAGTGGGGTGGGGGATGGTAACTGATGCCGTCAGTGGGTGTGGAATGGTGACTGATGACGTCAGTGGAGCGGGGAATGCTAACTGATGACGTCAGTGGGGTGGGGATGGTAACTGATGGCGTCGTCAGGGGGTACGTAACAATTACTGACATCAGTGGCATTGATTATGACAACTGACAAAGCAATGTCATTACGTCATTATCAGTGAGATGATGTTAGTGGAATGGCGAACATATAGAACAACGTAACTAACCACGTCACGTAGATATAGGTAAAAGCGATAACTTATGCGTCTAAGGTAGAAAACGATCAACCAGTGGCGGCGGAAGCGGGGGGGGCAGCGGGGGCACGGCGCCCCCCCATCTTCCAGGGTGGGGGTGCAAACATATCTTTTTGCCCCCCCCCCCCAAATTGTTATCGACGAAGTACCACAATACTTCCATACTACGTCATGAACATATGCCAGTTTGGCTGAGTACCTTTTTAAGTTAATAGAGCGAGTAATTTGGAATGGATTGATATTGTTGTCAATGTCGTCGTACATATTTTGATCATATTGGCTAGCATTTTGCAGTGCGAGTGTTACCAACCAAAAAGGTTTGCAATAGCCAATAATTGGCTAACTTTAATGACGTCATTGGTTTAAAGGAAGCAAGTTGTTCAACGCGAATAACAGTCACGGTGACAGCCACAGCGTGCTACACGTATTTGAACTGGACTTGCCGCAGTGGCGCGGGAACCAGAGGGGCGGTTCCCGGGAACCGGCTGGAGGGGCTAGCGGGGGCTGAGCCCCTCCAACTTTTCGGCGGGGGGAGGGCTCGTAATGTAGGTATTTGAGACCCTCCAACCGGAGGAATCGAAATCGGAAATCTACCAACATAATTTCATAGATTTATTACCTTTTCGAAATGTTAACCAGAAACAACCTTCATTATGGAGCGTTCTAACGCAGAAGACTGTGACAACATGTAAGCACATATTCATTCTCTAAATATCATACATTTCCACCAAACGCCCTCCACACATAATGCTCAGAAATCAAGCAGCTATCTACGAGCTACCGGTAACCGGAAGAGTAGGGCGGAACGCGAGTGGCCCGGCATGCGGACGTCACAGAAGCGCGTCTGAGCGTGCCACAGGCCTTTCCCCGCGACTCTGCCAGACGCCAGCCGGCATAGACTCGTGAGCCGGGGGGCAGCATGGGGGTAGCCTGCCCCCACAACTCTGGGGCCGTGGGGGGCGCAGGCGCTGCCCCCACAAAGTTTCATAGGGCCAGGAACCGTCGGGGCAGCTTGTCCTCCCTATAGGTATTAGCGGCCGTGGGCCTCAAAGAAAAGCTGAATGGAAGACAATACCTATTTAAGTAAAAAAATCCCCCTCTATACCTGATTTGACAGCTCACGTGTGAAAGCTTTAAACGTTTATTCCAAGTTACCAAAAAGGTAGTTCCTTGACTCAGATGAGACGGGATATCTCACTTTTTGCAAATGTTTTCGTTTCGATTTTTCGTTGTAAAGGCCAAGGGGTGAAAATTAAGTGGCCTAAAACCGGTGAGAAAACTAGATTTGGGGGTACCCTAGGTTCCGGGAAGGATCAGGTGTGCCCCCCCCCCCATCCCAAAATACCTTCCGCCGCCTCTGCGATCAACGGTAACTGGGAAAGGCCGGCGGTTGGCTGGGCCGGTTATGAGAGGTGCCTTAACCCGCGCCCTGCTGGGGGGGGTGTTTGAACACCCCCCCTTGTGGTTTTTCGCGAATATCTCAAAAACGGCGGCGCGGAGCGCCGCCGTTTTTGGTACACCTTATCATACATCAATTCTACACATGTTGTGAAAATTTCAGACCAAGGTCATTCAAGGTCAGGTCACCAGGTCACTTGAAGTGACCTCACCTCATAAAAAGTTTCAATGTCTGTCATAGCTACACCGAGTGACCGATCGCTTTGAAACTTTCAGCGATTGCTAAGAGCAATAGCATGTACAAAATGTATATCTCAGAATTTTGATATCGATGACCTAAGGTCAGGTCAATTTTGCGACCTCCCCATTATAAGTCAATGGGAGAAAATTGAAATGCGTCTCTTTTGGACGAAAGACATTATAAACACTCCCAAACACTGAATTACAAGTGGTTTAGACACACTGAACATGAAAATGGTGTCCGTGACCCCTATTTATGCCCTGAGGTCATCTTAGGTCACGAATGGTATCTAACAGTTTTTCGCAAATAACTTTTGATAGAGGCATGCTAGAGCGATGAAAACGCCTTAGATGTGTTCAGCTCGACGATATGGATCGACTGATATGCAACATGACCCTTTCCGGTCAGGTCATGACCTTGACCTGAGGTCAAATTTTCAAGCTGACCTTTCAAGGTCAAATTATAGTTCATTCGATGCGGCTTGACGAGAGGAACACGATGCCGGTAAAAGTAAGCTCGTACAAGGCTTGGGTCAAAAGTTATTGCAGAAAAACTGTTTCCGAAAAAATCGGCTATTTTTGCAGTTTTTGCCCCCTGCAGGCAAAACCGTTGACGTTAGGTCAAATCTGAGAGAATTATTCAGAAAGGGCGTTAATAGGGCTATCGAATGCGCTTTTCCGCGGCGCTGTAGCTCTATTGGTTCCCGAGTTATGCGTTGGCTTCTTGGAAATTTTCGACATTCGACCTGGAAATCGGCGAAATTTTGCCTTTAATGACCTCTGGTGACCTGACCTTTGACCTGACCAAAAAATTGACCGAAGTGATTTCCTCATTATTTTTGACGCTCTTTCGAACGCCGCCTTCCGCGTATCGCTACGTGGCCCAGGAGCCGAGTTAGAAGGGGGGGTGTTCAAACACCCCCCCCCCCCCCAGCAGGGCGTGGAAATCCAGGACCCCCAGCCGGGCGCGGGTTAAAAGAGAGCGTTAGTTCTAAAGGATGTGTGGCTAAGAGACAGAAATCTGAAATTATTTTAAGTAAATGAAGAAATGTGTTACCTATTTATGCATATCTATTTACGATAATATGTAAATACGTAGATCGAGGAACGTTGATCTAATTTCGTCAGAGTAATGTCACTCGAGCAAAATCTTCTCAGAGACGTCAATCTTCTGAAATCCTAGGTCAATCTTTCATTTATTTGATCTATTTTAAAAAAGCAGCTGGTTATGTGACGTCATTAGCTGCTTGAGACAAGTCAATCGTCCAGAAAGCCCCAATCCTCACAAAAAGTGACTCTCAAGATGATGGGATGGACTCGGATTGAGTATAGTCCCACAGATTATTCAAGCGCTTAAATAGCCCGTAGCTAGTTAGCACCAGTACACCAGTACTCGTAAAGCCAGTCCTTCTTCGCTGAAGTTACAATGCTGGTCACTACTGTTCTTTTCAAACAAAAGTGCGCAGAAAAGTGGACATCTCGTATTGGCGTCTCCGATGGCAGTCATCACATGTTACATAAGGTCAATAATTCACAATTGAGAAGTAAACACATAATTAAAGGTCAAAACATCATCAAGGAGCAAAAGCACAATAAGAAGTTGCCTTCTACACAGCTTTTTCGACGATCTAATTCAACAATATTTACAAATAACAATTTGTTTATCTCGTCATATCGTTTAGAGGAAACTTACAAGAAACGCACTCAGTATCCCTAACGATTTGCAGCATACACTCCGGTCGTGAGTGGGGTTAAGGACGGCACCGCTCTCAAACTTCAATTTTCAAACTAGATTCATCACTCAAATTCGCTTGACGAAGTCTGGCGGTCACATGTACTGATCCTGGATGCATCCTGAATTGTTACATGATTCTGGCATGGCTATAGGTTCCTGTGTTGTGGGGTAGCCACTAGTGTGGCTGGGTGGTCTGTCCTTAAGGACAAACTCAGCCGCGGCCGCGGACCATAGAGGTCACCCATACCAATGCCCTCTCTTAATTCCTTATATCGTTTCGGCCCTGAAATGGTCTGGCTTGGCCGGAAGGCCGAAGGGTCAAACGCAGGTATGGTCGTTGTATGACCTCCCTTTGCTCCCCATCTTGGTGATAGTTGGAAAAATCATTTTGAATTTGCTTGATACAATCCACATTCGTGTGTTAGAACTTGATATATTCATGTGTAAATAAATTGCATTTTACGTGGCTATAGGATTATTTTTAGGATCTTTCAGTCTGGGATAATGTATCAAAACTCCCTGACTCACATATACGTCAGCGTGATGTGAAGACGAACTTGGTAACAGATATCGGACTTCGGAGTGAATCATTCAGTAACCAGGGACCAGGATGGGTCACTCAGTGAACGGTGGCAGGGACGGGAAACCTGCCAAGCGGTGCTCGGTGCGTGTAGCTCGATGAACGGGGGCGGGGACGGGTCACCCGGTGAGTGATCGGGCGGACGGTCACACGGCGGGGTTCACGTGCACCGATCGCACCGATCGCACCGATCGCACTCACCGGCGGCGGCCAGCGGTCGGTCGGCGGTTTCCGGTGCGGCGACTGACCTCGCCGGTACTGGCGGCCCGAAATGTCCTCCTAACCCAGTCCCCGAGATGTCCCAACCCAGCCCGGCGCCGAGGGACCATGGAGGACACCGCGGTACACCCGTCGGACACTGGTATAAAGGGACAAGGCGACGGGAGGAGGGCACAGTTCGCTACTGGTCAGATCAAGTCAGCACCGGTCAGAAGATCCAAAACAACAGACATGAAGCTGGTGAGCTAATGGGCCACGAAGCGGGAGCATAAGAAATGGTCGCGCACCTTTTCGAAGCAGTTCTATAGCAGTGGTTGCTTTTACATGTGCACACTGTTCTCTTGATCTCAACCGATTGCCATTTGAAATTCAGCAGCTGGGTAGAACCAATAGTTACTTGAGCTAACAGACATGTCCATTTGTGGTGTTTCGTTTCAAATGAAATGTCATATTTCAGTTATTATTGGGATGCAAGGTTTTGCAGAAGAACGTGTACTTAACTAAATAAAAACGATATGACTATGTGGTCTTGGTCGCTATATCCTCTCAAATAGTTGACGCTGGTTTGATTGCTGAAGTGCTGTTCGAATTATGACCATCTCTCTGTACCGTTTCAGCTCGTGTTTGCCGCCGTGCTGGCCGTGGCCGCCGCCGCCCCGTCGGAGCTCCCCTACGAGAGGGACATTGTCGAGATCCTACGACAGAACATCGACCACAACGATGACCAGTCCTACCAACACTCGTGAGTACCAACTGGCCTTCGCTGCCCAGGCTGCGAATGGAGGCGCTTTGGTGGATGAAGGCATTTATTGTCTCCTCTTATAATTCTGGACGGAATAATCGGTGCTAACTATTTACTGATATTTTTGTAAATATTTTCCTCCTTTCGCAAGCAAGTTTTATGAAACGATTTTTTTTCGGTATTCAACCTATCATTATACTCAGTCACTATACATATATTGCGTGACGAAAACCGTCCATTTTCCTCCGCCAGTTTCGAGAGCGAGAACGGCATCTCTGTGTCGGAGTCTGGCGAGCCGGAGGATGACGACAGCTACAGCGTGTCGGGCCAGTTCAGCTACACGGCCCCCGACGGCGTCACCTACACGGTGGTGTACTCGGCCGGCGAGCAGGGCTTCCAGGCGCAGGGCGACCACCTGCCCACCCCGGTGCCCACCCAGTACCCCACTCCGGAGGTGTCTGAGGAAGAGGAGGAGGAGGATGAGGAAGAGGAGGAGCAGGAGGAGGGGGAGCCTCAGTACGAGCGTGTCATCGTCGGCTACCGGTCACGATACAACTAGGCCATGAAAGTAGAGGTTTAAACCACTGTTCAAGGTGTTTGGAAATATTCTTCTATGAACGATTCTTCTGCGTATTTATTTGTTTTTCCGCAAAACATTTAAAAAGTGTATCGTGTTGCAGCCTGGCGACTGCAGCGATGACTGCATAATAAACATTTAAGATATTCAAGCTGATGGTTTTAGACACTGTGAATTGCACGACTTCAGCCCGAACCTGTGGGCTGCGGACGCCGAACTCCACGACACTCGGGGGCATGGACGTTCAAGACACTGCCAGCCAGCGTCTTAAATGCATAATGCATGCTCGTTTGAGTAAATTTAGCTCCAATGCTTGAATGGGCAGGATACAGATTGACAGAGACTGAGCCCACGCTTAGCAGAGCCCGACACGTTCCGTGAGATCGGAATACTCTGGGTTGAATCGGCTTTCGGATGAAAGTTCGTAAACCAAAGTTCGTATGCGCAAGAGTTCGTAAGCGAAAGTTCGTATGCAAGAGCATGTATAGGATTAAGGTCGTATATGATAAGGACAGTTTATAACGATTTAAATTCGTAGTAAGAATCGCTTCCGATAAGGTTCGTGAATCGTGTGTCTGTTGTCTAAGATTCGTAAAAAGTAGGGTTCGTATGCAACAAAAGTTCGCACGGCAAGGCTCGTTCTGGAAGAGGTTCGTACAGCAAAAGATTCGTAAGCGAAGGACCCCAACAAAGCAAGCTAGTTGGCCTGATGGCTGATGACATTCAGATGACCAGTTCTAATAAACATGCACCAGAAATATATGATTTCTAAAAGATTCGTGGCTGTGTTGCTGAGTAAAATTTCCTTATGCCAAAGTGAATGCAATGTTCTGGAAGAGCGTTTTTCCCAATGGCCAGCAGATATTACAATTGGCCTTGAATTTCCATAGCCAAGCTAAGCTCTACCAAATCAAGACTGTATCGTGGAATAAAAGAAAATATAAAACGACGCTATAAATCCATTGTGAGACTAATATTCATGATTATATGACCCCCGAGCCCACCCAGCCCATTATCCTACTCTGTTAACCTACTTATGCTACCGCCAACTGCCCCACTCATTCAATTCCCCGTCACTTAACCCGCGAGTTGCTGGGGGGGGGGCGTTAAACGCCCCCACTTTTTTCGCCGGGCCATAGCATAAAAACGGCGCGCCGCAGGCGCGCCAATTTTTGGGTACCTGTAGAGAATTGATTGAAGTTTATTGTGACAAAGTTTCAAAAAAAATCGGTCGGAAAATTTTTGAGATATCGAGGTTTTAGTGACGTCATGATTTCTGAGTTTTCGACCAAAAACGGCATATGTTCAAAAAATCATATAAAATCACAGAATAGACATACAGTCATGCCGTAAACGCCATTAGACTGCCAATACCACGATCAATCAAATGGCTATCTTCAATTATTGATTATCGTTCCGCATTTTCCAAAATCTTGAACTGAATCTTGGCAATTTTTCGTGACCATGATACATGAATTTCCTAAATTGAACTTTTTGAGCCAAACACGTACACATATGATAAAATGAATGTCACCATCGTGTTCTACGCCCCAAATTACCTATAAAACATGTGTCACAGGCTGCGAATATCAGTTTTGATTTTCGGGGATATGTGCCTACCCGGTTGACCTGACCTTGACCCTGACCTATGATTAACTGACCCCTATATGGGGCTGACACTCTTGTAGGCCTTATAAGATGGATTGTGCACCGTTTTGACAGAGTTTATGGCGAGAGGCGGCCATTGCGAAGTCCTGAAGTCCATGCTACTGAAAGCCCGATTTTAGGTGTTTGACCTGACCTTGACCCGACCTGTGACCTCAAAATTCAACTTTAAAGTACTCATCTGAAGCGTCTCGTCGCGCTCTTTCGTTTGCCGCCTCGTGCGTTTCGCTGCGCCTATTGGTTCTCGAGTTATCGGCTGGGGGCGTTTAACGCCCCCCCCCCCCCCAGCAAACGGTGGGTGGCGAAATACCCCAGCAACTGCCGGGTTAATGACTTCAAGCAAGTGTTGTTCACTCGGCTCTTCAATAGAAGGCTGAAACTGGCACTCGCGCATAGTGTGCAACCTTTCAAGCTAGACTGAAATTGACTTTAAAGGTAATGAGTGAGCTATTTACAGCACATGGTTGGAAACTAATAGGCTGATGTGACGGATCGATCGATGTGAAGTTGATGTGACGAATTGATAATCGTACGATTAGTTTTAATGACTTCACAATTTACCGGTACCGCTCCGTACCATTTTGGTTTCATTAAATGCCATGCATTATCATCAATCTCCATCTCAATCAGTCAATTGTTTAAGGATTAGCGACGTTTGTAAGACGAATGCTTGCACATTCAAGCATGATGATAGGTATCATAAAGTCGGTCTGTTATGAGCAGTATCACAAATGCAATCGTCAATGCTGTCATAAACGTCAACAATGGTCAAATGATGACCATAGACGACAAATACGGTCGTCTATGGTCATCAAGAGTCGTTAATGATCATTTGATGTACAAGTACCAATCAATGTATTGCCGTGTCGTTCCCAGTTTAGCTAGCTATTAGCTCTCACCTTGAGCTCCTCTCGGTGGGTGACTTTCGTACCGATGTACGGATGTACTGTGTCGTACCGACGTATGCCGTTGTACGTACGGATCTTCTCCGTCGTACGGACGAGCGCTGTCGTTCGCTCACACACCGCGGCACCCCCAGCACTGCCCGAGGGTCCGGCCAGCGGCGGCGGCCGAGGACCGGCAGTGACGTCACGGCGCCGTCCACCAATCAGCGGACTCCTAAATCGTCGCCGCCCGGGGTGCCGTCATTTGAGCCCAACACTTGACGCCAGGTGAGGACATTCATACAAGGGATGCATTTTATTCAAAGATTCTAATATCAACACTTCATTCAATGGTTTTCTTTTGGTCAAATTTCCCATCTGTCCCGGTTCAGATATTAGTTAATTTCTATAATATAGACATCATTCTATAGAGAAACACAGTAAGAATACTGTGTAATGCAGTTAATCTGACCAACAATTTCCACCTAAATCTAACTAATCGTAATCTCACCACGATTTCCAGCCGCAATTTGTTTTCAACATGTCAGCTGTCGTGAGAACCTGCAGTCAGCTGTTGCGAAACATCCAGGTACGCAGAAATATAGCACTCTTTTTTAGCCCAACACAGTAAGGGGAAATGTGGGGAATCGGTGTTTTGGGTGGGGGATGGGGAATATTTTCACATGACGGTGATATTTGAAGAAAAAATATTGGTTATAAACAACAAATCAGCTTTTGCATTTAATGAGGTAGTGCTGGTAGTGCTGGTAGGACTGAATGTTTGATCATTGATATATGAGGGAAGCTTATTATTTTCTAGGCTCATTATAGCTATAATAATGATAATGCAGAAATATACCTATAATTTTTTTATCAGGCTTCAAACAGTCATCAGCACTTTGTCGGCAGTTCCTTAGTATTTTTTCGTTTTTTTTTCCAGCACCTTGAAATGGTTGCTTTTGCACTAAATTAGCTCAGTTCGCAGTTCGCACCATAAATGGTATTTCTGGTTATATTATGTTTTTTTTTTTGTCACTTCGCACTTCTTGAGTCTTGGATATTCCGCTTAAGGAAGAAAACAGTGGTAAAGGTTGTAGGCTATCGGATATATAATGTCTGAAGGTAACATCTTTAAAGGAAAATGGTATTCTAGCGCAACTTGTAAGGTAAAGTGTTGCCCCGTGCTCGGAGCGAAGCAGCGCATTGCCGTAGGCATGTATGTATGTATGTATGTATTGATCTAAAATCCATCCATATAACATGGTTTTTCAGGATTCAGCGTCATGTACAATACAGTAAAATGCAAGAAGGCAATAGGCACTGGCAGATAAAATAAGACAACTAATTGCACTAAAACCGGAATAAAACACAGCACCCCAAGACCTCAGGCTTCGCTGGCCGCCACTGCGCGGCGAAACGCGGTCAGCGTGGGTTGCTCCCTGACGGCCGGCGGCAGCCGGTTCCACGCGGCAGCAGCGCGGTAACTAAACGTTCTCTGTGTGGAAGAGAGCCTACACTTCTGCAGCTCCAGGGCGCCAGCTTCTACAGAGCGTGTGACCCGGCCAGACACCTCAGAGCGGGACACAAACATGCGGCGGATGGAGAGAGGGTAAGCCGGTATGTGGAGCGCCTTCCACACCTTCAGTAGGTCCCTCTCCCACACCAGCCGCTCCACTCCGGGCCAGCCCAGGGATGCCAGAGCCGGCCCGATCCTCTCCCGACGCCGCACGCCTGTCACGATCCGAGCACTGAAGTTGATGAGTTTTTGGATCCGAGTGAGTTGATTTTTTGTGGTTCCGCCCCACACCGAAATGCAGTACAGAATGTGAGGGAACACGTGGGTCTCAATGAGTAACTTTAGCGTTTCCTGGTCAAAATGGTGGCGGAACTTTGAGAGGGATATGAGGAGGGCATTGCACCTCCTGACGATGTGACTGATGTTGGCGTCCCAGGCCAAACACGAGTCGACAGTCACCCCCAACAATTTGATGGTTGGTGACGGTTTTAAGACTGACTCAGCTATGCAGATTTGAAAGTTTTCGATCTTGCTGAGAGTCTGACGGGTTCCGATGAGAATGAAGTCGGTCTTTTGAGGGTTCATTTTAAGAGAATTTGAGCTAAACCAGTGTTTCATGACATCCAAGGAGTTTTCGACACGTTGTTTTAGTGATGCTAAATTTTGAGGGTCAGGACGCGAGTGATCGAGCAGCTGGGCATCGTCAGCATATGCGATCACCCGACAGTCCGGTAGATGGCAGTGCAGGTCGTTCGTTAGCAGGCTGAAGAGGATCGGCCCGGCTATGGATCCCTGCGGAACCCCGCAGGGGACCGGCAGGACTGTTCTGCCGCCCCTGACCAGCTGCCCCCGGCCGCCAAGATAACTACCAAACCAGGTCGGGTCGATCCCGTACCACTCCAGCTTGCGCAGGAGGACGCCGTGGTCGACGCTGTCGAAGGCCTTGCTGAGGTCAGCTGCCGTGACTGAGGAGACCTCTCCCCGCTCTGAGTTCTGGCTGATCCATTCGACAGCGTCGAGCACGGCGTCCTCCGTGCTGTGACATGATCGGTAGGCGTACTGGTTGTAAAATAAAATGTTGTGGTCCGATAGGTACCGCGACAGTTGGTCACACACAACCTTTTCAACAACTTTTGACAAGTGAGATAAAAGTGATATCGGTCTGTGGCTAGATGGTTCGTGTACATCACCGCGTGGCTTAAGGATCGGCACCACCTCGGCTGTTTTCCACGCCTCAGGGAAAACACCTTTGGTTAGGGACACATTCACAAGTCGCAGCAGGTGGGGGCCAATCACATCAAAACAGCGCTTCACCGCACCGAGTGGCACCCCGTCCAGCCCCACCGCCCCAGACGAGTTCATCCGCCTCACAGCTCGCGCCAGCTCCGGTAGGGTCGCAGGCTGGAGCCGGAACGCCGCTGAGACTACTATAGGCGGCCGCGGGGCTAGGCCCGCAGTGACGTCATCATTCAAGTCGGCCGCGATGCGAGAGCCCACCGACGCGAAGAACTCGTTGAATCGGTCAGCGCGGGCCCGCTGCTCGGCTGCACTCTTGTCTGAAGTCGAGTGTGCTGAAGCGGAGGGCGCCAGGTAGAACCTCCTGAGGCTGGACCAGAACTCCTTGCGGTCAGAGGCCAGCAGCTGGCGCCCCAGGAACTCCCTGCGCGCCTGAGCCAGCTGAGCCTTGACGGAGTTCCGCAGGCGGCAGTAGTCCTCGCGGGACTCGGGAGTGTGTAGGTCCAGCCACGCCTGGTACGCCTCGTCACGCTCCAGCATGGCCTGTCGCAGCTCGTGGTTGTCGGTTATCCACGGACAGCCTCTGCGTCGGTCGCGTCGGGTGCGCGCCGGACAGTGACGGTCAATGACTGTCCACCATATCTGCATGAAGATGTCGACCATGCTGTTGACGTCCTCGTTGCTGTCGAAGTTGGACCAGTCAGCCAGCAGCAGGTCTAAGCAGACAGCGTCCCAGTCTGTTCGGCCCCAGTTCCGAGTGGTGCGCTCCGTCGGCTGCTTCCGGAGTCGGCCGATAGGTGCGCTGACTGCTATCGGCTGGTGGTCACTGATAGGTGTTGTGAGGACGTCAGCGCGAGATGATGAGATGTTAGTGATGATGTGATCCAGGGCCGATGGGTTTGGCCGCAGATGGGTCGGCCGGTCGATCAGCTGGGTCACATTCAGCTCCGAGAGAGCAGTCTTGTAGCGCCGGGTGTCAGAGGACTGGGCGTTCAGAACGTCGATGTTGAGGTCTCCCAGCAGGTAGGTCGGCTTGCCCCTGGCCAGGACGTCTCTCAGCTGCTCCTGGAGCTCGTCTACGGCCTGGGAGACGGAGCCAGCCGGAGGCCGGTATGCGACTCCAATGATGGCCGGCCGGCCGCCGCGCCACGACACTGAGACCCACAGCGTCTCCAGCAGGCTGGTCACCGGCGTCGACAGCACCTGACAGTGTATCTCCTCCCTATGGATGACCGCCACCCCGCCACCTCTGACACGCTGGCCTTCAGTCGATTCGGCCCGGTCGCGTCTCACCATGAGATAGCCTGGAAACACTATAAAACGTGACAGAGTGTCAGGCGTCAGCCACGATTCAGAGACACAGAGAATATCAAACTGCTCTGAGTCGAGGAGGCTGTTGATGGCGTCGACCTTGGGGGCGAGCGACTGGGCGTTAATGTGGCCGATTCTCACCCCTCGGCCGGTTCCGGAGTCAGAGCGGCGCTCGTCACGAGACTCAGTGCTGGTCTGGTTCTGCTGGGCAGAGGGGGCGCCACCGGCGGCCTCTTGCTCCGCAGGGACTAGCTGTATCTCGCGCAGGCAGCGGTCTCGGAGTGCCGCTCCACCGCTGGTCACGGTCACTTTCGGTCTTCTGCCGCTGATCACCGGGATACGGGCCGGCACGTCTTGCCTGGCGCCCATCCGACAGCAGCGGCGGCCGCCGCGCCGTCCAAGCCATTTCAGCTGCGAAAGCTCTGGCGACAGCCGCGGAACTAGAGGTTCCTGCGGTGCTCCATAGATGACGCCAGTGTCGCTCCAGCTGCGCGTGACCCCTCCCTTAGCCAGCTGACGGAACACCGACCGTAACACATTCATGGCGCGAGTGATACAGTGCGGCGCACCTCTCGGCGTGAATGTCAGATCCGGTTTAAAGTCTCTACCGTAAAATACCTGTGATCTTCGAGTGCTGGTGTCGAATCCACGGTGTTGCAGAAAAGGTAAGACACGATCGCAGCGGCAACACAAGGGATAAAAACACTTAAAACTGGGTTAAGGACGGAGGTACCGCGGAGCGACCCGCGTTGGGATATGGCAGCCGCCGGATTACCTAGCGATGTGCCAAATTTGAGCACAATCGGCCCAGCCGTTCTCGAAATCTGGAAGCGGCACCCTGCACGTGCGCACGTGCAAAATGGGTCCCAACTGACTTGTGCACGGCACCCTACTAATTGGTCCCTAACCGTGTATCAAATTTTAGCGCCATCAGTCCAGCCGTTCTCGAGATCTGGAAACGACCCCTGCACGTGCGCACGTGCAGCAGCACCCCAACTCTGGCACATGGATATGCAGTGCCTAGTGGGTGCCTATCTACATGCCAAATTTCAGCGCAATCGGCCAAGTAGTTACCGAGATATTGCAACAATTACAAAACTGA